TATATATATATATATATATACATGTGTGTGTGTGTTATTCCATGATTAAATGAAGGCTACTTAATACATCAAATTCAGGATTCTAACGCTTACCAAATTGGAAGTTCGAGAAACTTGGACAAATGTGATAGCAGGCACTAAGTAGACCCTCCATTGTCAAAGCCAGCCCCATAGCGTAGAATAGGCCATAATGTTGGGGTATTCCAAACGCCTTTAAAGAAAAATCAAAATTTATAATGATTAGATGGCGGGAAAAGCGGATTTATGGTAAGTAGTTAAGGTTAGCACTAACTTTTTCTAAAGTAATTCCTAAACTCATACAATGATAGAGGGAAGACGACATTTTGAAGTCTACGAGTAAGTGCTTCATTTCACAACCTCGGTGCAGACCAGAATGCGACTATCCTACCAATGTCGCTACGCTACTCTATGCGAGACATACGCAACCGAAATACTAAACTCGTCTTAGAAACAGGAAGGTATAGTCAACCCCAATCAAACGGTTTATCCCAAGAGCGATCAGGAAAAGAGACTATTAACGGAGTTAATACCATATCTTTCAGATGGCTCTCATCAGCTTCATCGTTGCTTTGATGATCTTTATAATAGGCACCCAACATTGGAACATCATTAATTGGATCCGCGGAGGAATGTCTGTCAAAACGATCATTTTTCTGGCAACAGCAACAAGTACAACAGGCTATTGAAGTTGGACAGAGACAGTTTAGGAGACCAAGACGTCCACGAGATCGGGTGATGGTAATCATCGGAGTTGTAGAGGAGGCGATAGAAAGATTCGGGGAGGCAGGAGATTGCTGGCCTGCCTCATTTGACCTTCCTACGGTGAGACCATTGGCTAAATTAGAGGCTACATTGGTGGTAGCAGAGTTTGATGTCATTGGTGTTTCTAACTCATTATCGCTGTTGTGACGAGCTCTAGTGTTTCTGCGATGCTTTACTCGGGAAAACAGCCACCGGCAAAATAGCTACAGGTATAGTAAAGAGGATCTTTTGACATCAAGAGAACAGAAGTGTAGCGTGCACTACCAAACATCGAACATGCAGGGGATAGCAAATTAAGGTGAATATTGGCGGGGTTGTAGAGAGCATTAAACGAAAACAAGGGGTCTGTGCAGAAATGGAATAGACACAATTCACCATGTTCGACTAGCCAAACAATAACAATCGACATACACAAATACATTTACACATAATACAAAACACACTTAGGTGTTACTACTTCAATGTTTGAAGTGGGTAGGAAGTAAGAATAACAAAGAATTGCTCTAATTTACACACAAGCAACCACGTATGCAGAAATGAAAAATAAACCGAAAGACTGATATCACCAAGTCACTCTATCAGAATCCACACTAAGTTCACTCTACTGTCCAAAAGATAGCGTATATAATTTCGGTCATGAAATTTGTATATATAAAATGACGCGGTGAAATGACTAGACATTGAGGTCAAAGCTTCGTCCGACTATGCCAAAACATCGTCCACCTGGCACCTCTAAATAGAAGATAGAACTCGATAGAACTGAAACAAATTTCCGCTTGAAAGGAGGGAAAGAAGTGGCGAACCAAAGCACAACAATTGAGAAACGTAAGTCATTATTTGAAGGAGATGGTGGTGGACAGTGGCCAAAACAGGTACAAACTAACTCAAAATTATCCCCTTATTCTCAGGAAACAAAAGACTTAACATTATAAGTAACGAAAGGGGGGGGGAAGGAGGGGGGTTAGACGAAGCCTGATACACTATATCCTTCTCAATACTGACAGAGTAGTATTTACACTAACCTATTGTTGAAATGCTCTTGAAGAGGAAAATATTAATTTCTAAAGGAAGCAAATGAATAAAAAACTAATAATCTGGAAAGAACAAAAAGAATTCGCCCCCTCCCCCCCACCTCCAACTGAGGTGAGTACTAAGCAAGGGAGTAGAAACGGATAGTTTCGATCTTCAACCCTTTAAAACCCTGCAGGACCGCCTGGTCCTCTTTCAAAATAGGCTCCATTGATACTAGACTCGTAACAGAAGGTCCTATTGCCGTTTGAAACATGTCTTTAGCCGTTGCCTCATACCACTAAAACTCATCACGTCGGCGGCATAAGTCCGCTGTGAGACACATGTGTGAGTGGGGTTGGGTGCATTTTTCAGAAGAATAATTCGAGCGTTAAGGGGCTAAGGTATACTCGGAGTACAGCAGATTAAGTAATTATACTAGAGCAATTCGTTAAAAACCGCGGCACAGAAAAAAGGCAAAGCGATCAAAAAATTATTAACGAAAAACACAAGCAAAGCAGACATCGAATTTGTAAGCAAACACATCATGCTAATTTTACCCTCAATGTATAGGGATCCTGAATTTGAGCAAAATAGAAGGCATTTAATCAGTTGCGTGAGAAATCATGAGTCATCGATGATGACACAACCAGCTTACTTGTGTGTAATAGGCACCGAATTTCTCCATTCGCCGGTGCATGAGATCTCTGAAATGGAAAACAAAGAATACACTATCTTCCAATTAAAATAAACCGAGAGGCACTATACTTTACTATTTTAAGGTAACACATATACTAGAACGAGGATGGAAAACAAAGTGGACAAACTCGATCACTACCACGACAAGAAATCGAATGATAGATATAAAAGCGGTCAGTAATTTTTGCTAATCTACTCCCCACAATCCCTTGAGTTAATAATCCATTTAAGTAGCCGATTTAACAAAACACTTGCACTAAACACTAGCGAGAATAATACGTAATTTAGCGTTAAGTAAAGTATGGCGTTAGTCACGAGTTAACACCGAGGCGCATCAGAGAGTAAATGATAAAGGCAAACAAATACCCAAGATGCCATATATCCGTACATCAAAAACGCATTTTACACGTTTGAATATTGCGACACCATTTTATGGCTAATTAAATCTAACTATGCAAAAAACTTGGAATATGTTAGAAAAGTTATGAACACAGTGACTTCATAAGCATTATATATTGCAATTTACCCAGAATCCAAACTATGATCAAACTAGGAAATATTTTACGAAATTAGAAAGCTGCAAGACACACATTCCTGTCAACTAAAAGGATTCACCAAGCAAAAGTTAGAAAGTTAAACAAGACGAGTTCAAAGAAGAAATTGCAAAAAATGTCATCTTGATGGAAATAGTAGCAACCAAAAATTATCATGTTGTTTATACCATGCCCCGATAAATATATATTGAACAGTTTAATCTTCGCTCTAAATACAAAAGCTCTCAACATCAACACTGTGGATGGAAATGAAACGAAATCTTGTAGATAGTGCGCGACTTCAAACTCGGAAGAAACGGATTAGTCTAGATTTGGGGAGCCTGGTTACCCATCAACAAAGCATAGAAGCGATGGATCAAGAGAAAGAAAATACCAAAGAAGAAGTTTAAGCAATTAGTGCTTTAATACTAAATTGTTACCCTTCGAAATCTGTCACATCTTCGTTCACACTGGCCCTTATCTTTTCTTGTTGCAATGTCCCAGTGACCGCATTGCTTCTAGTGGCGTGTTCAGACACAAAGAAAATGACTTTTTAGTTTTTTTTCTTAATCTCAAATAAGGCATTCATAAAGTACGGTAATCTCATATGCTTCATTTTACGCACAGATTGGATTGATTAGCTGTCAATACATGGTCAGATTTTCTGAATTCAGTAGCGTATAAAGTTGCCAAGGTCAATTTAAGGAGTTTCGTGAACGCCAGAACATTCTATTAAGTGTGAACGTGGGCAGAGGGATATCCCACCTAAAACGCGATCAAGTTTATGTAACGTAACGTGATACTGATAGCGGTAGTAACCCAATATGCTGGTGTTCAATAAGACATCTACAGTTACACATACTTGCTCATCGTTTGCCAAATTGCACATTGTCTCTTTCCGCCTTTGTTCTCCCTCGATGCCTCATCACTTTGGTCTGCACAACTCTTTGTTGTCCCCCCCCCCCCTCCCCCCATATTTTTAGAAGAGTTCTTCACCCCTTTTGTAAGTACTAATTTAACTTGGCTAAGTGAGAAAGAGATAACATTTTAGGGTAAATGGCAAATCAATGGAAACATATTTGTAGAAGTATTCACTATAAGGCTATAAACGTAAAGAGGAATCTACACTATGGAGCTGAGAAGACTCCGTTAATGTCCTTGTGCGATGACGAAACGACAAAGAGCACAACAACAACAGTGGGGGAATGGGGGTAATTCGTAAAGGAGCACAAAGAGAAGAGGATAGTTATTAGTATTAGTGAAATAATATGCCAAGTAATTTTAGTTTCACAAAGCAGCAAAAAAACCGCAGCCCGGCCTTCTTACAAAAAGTCAAATATGTCATTTTTAGCACAAATTGTGTCTAATAGCACCAATAGATTGCTGATTTGCCATGAGGTAAGTGGAAATATCAAGGCGATGAAAACACTTGGCCTAAACTGTGTTGTGTGAGTTATTCTTACAACCCAGAAAAGGAAGCTATATTTTATCACAAAAAAGGCAGGCTCGCAGTTATAACAGCGTGTAACTTGACCCCATTGAACAGGAATTAAAAATAGAGATTAACGTTAAAGAAGTGTACAATTCAAGACGGGCTAATGAATCCGAGAGCACAATTTAGCATCCAAACAGTAAAATTTTCTCTAGGCGTCCATAATTCAATGAAAACTACCCTAGGAAGTACTCCTATAGGCGCTTTTGAATTCATGAATTATAATCAAACAATGTGAAATCAAGTTTGTGATCTGCGAAGTTTAAGACCTCACACAAAACTATGGGCGTAACCGAAACATTTTACTATGGTACAAGATATTGATCTAGAGAATTGAAAAAAACGGTCTCACAGTGCAATAAAACCGGTTAGCAAAGTGGTAGAAATTGAATACTAACCGCTAAGATTGACATTAACCCTAAACTGCATGCTAAATAAACTTTAAGTGGGTTATAGACAATAATCTTGATAACCAATGTTTATTGCATCGTTTCTAACACTGTTATTGCTAACAAAATCTATTTTAAGTGTTATGTTCACTTCTTCATGGCCATTCTACGCAAACAATGGTTATCTTGATACAACTGATGCATCCATAAAATTCCCTTTCAGATAAGCGCTGCCCTAATAGGCGATAGAGACGTGAACCAATAGACGACATACCGACGAGCAGTGAGGCCTAGAAAGAGTAGGCCAAGCATAACGTAGCCAATGTTGGAGATGATATTATTAAAAGCAGTGAATACTCCAAGAGGATGGGCGCATTCAAAGTTGTAGTAACATATATCCTCATTGCCAGTATCATGTAGAGCCTAAAAACAAGAACAGAAGAGAAAAGCAAACCAATTCTAAATAATATAACTCAATCCATCCAAAATCATCCGATTGCCTACTCAAATTAGTAAATAGATTAAACAAGTTATCTTATAGGTGTGCACCATCAATCAATGAACCAAACATTCGAGAAATCTACCTTTTTCTCTAATCTATGACTTCACTAGTGGACAGGGGTAAAAGAGGACCTACCCTTTGATAGGTCATGACCAATTGAGCAACAGGTAGACCGTAGAAAATTGAGATGATAATGAGATACCTTAACATAAATAAGAGGGATATCAATTGCATGAAATGCACAACTTCGATTGCATAGTAATGAAGCTGAAACGTACCAGAAGTAGAGAAGATACTTTCTATCCAACGTTGAATATCGTTTGCGAGAGAGGTCCGACACGAAGAGAATACGCTGAAATAGGCGAATGCGTAATTCTTAAGAGCGTCTAAAGGAGCATCCAATGGTAAAGCATCATTTTGTGGGGTCTCTTATACACATAAATATTAAAAAAACAAGTCTAAAAATAGTAATCTCCAGGCCAAGGAAACTAACAGCCAGATATTTATGAACAAGCGTTAAACAGGCAAAGTGGAGCGATTGAAGTCATTATCAATTCCATTCGACAGCATTCACAGAGGCGAGTAGAGAGTGGGCTAGGAAGAGTGCTGTTACATGAGTAAAGTTAGCCATAATTTGTACTTTCACGATTCCTTCTTTCACAAACTTACCTGAAAGCCAAAAATCTACATACACACACACACACACACACACACACACACAGAAACACAGAAGTTTTAAGAGCTGCAATCCATAGTTATTACGATTTTGGTCCCCTCCACTCCCCCCCCCCCCCCCCCCCCCCTTCCTTAATAATAAAAGAAAAATAGATCTCTTTATCAATTAGAAAAGAAGAATATTATAGAATAAAGACAGTTAGATGAATAAATTAAGAACACTGCGACGCAGTAAATAATGAATTAATTTAATAGGTCACATGAATTTTCCCAATTATCTACGAATAGATCGGGATTTACAATAAACGCTCCATGCGTAGAATATGTATATATATAAACTTAGGAAATTACTAATGGCTGCCAAATTAATTGGATATGATTGATTTCTAACCCCATTTTAATAATAATTTCATTGATGAGAGAGTATAACCATTTGCAGAATGTTCTCTCAAACACCAATACTTGATAGCTTGAATTCTAAAATATGTTCTTGATTAAGATGCAGCAACTGTCACTCTAGTAAATACACTCCTCTTTTCGCTTGCGTAAAGAATCAATTATGCATTTTTAAGTTTAATTTGTGCGACAACGACAGGGTGGAGACTTGTCCAAAGAAATAATCCTTGATATTCAATACCTTCCTTTTCTTTTGTCCAGATTCATAATCGAAATAGCTGGAAGCCCGAAGAATGAGTAAAGAAATCATTTCCTTAAGCACAAATGCCTGTCTACAAAAGTTTGAAGGTTTACTATGAAACGGCAACCAAATAGTCAGCCTAGTATGCTTTATGAGTGGACAAAGATAAATTATTCAAATTCGCCTTTATTAACCAGCAGTTTAAGTTTTATAACACACCCTGGAATACACGAAAGAAGTGAAATAAAAAGAACAAACAATGCCAATTTCGAAGTCAGATCAGTGATTGTGCCTTAAACATTGTCCGAATTTTTAAAATATAAGTTTATGCCGACAGGCTAGAAGAAAGAAGATAAGTCCTGCAATGTGTCGGATTTGTGCACACTTTAATAGACAAAAATAGCACTTTGTAGGTGAACATGTAATCTTAAACCAATTTGGTGTACTCGTAAAGTAAATTTACAGAAGTGAAAATTTGGAATTGGATTTAGGAAATAGCACTCACATTTCTAAGGTCAAGAAGATAAGCTTCTAGTGGTTGCAATTAGTCTAAACCCAGTAGTCAACGCATACAATATTTGCAAAAAAGGACCTATACTTCCTATCTGAGACTGAGTAACACAACAGAACAATATCCCCCATCTTTTGATACTTTCATTAATGTCCACTGTGCATTAGGGTTAAAATCAACAATAAGATAACAAAAACTCACATTTTGTAGATATAAATGTCGGTTCTTAGTTTTTTCCTCATGCTCCTCCTCCTCTTCGTCTATATGTATATCCACTGAAGCCTCCAAACCTTCTTCCACCTGTCTCACCGTCGGCAGGGGCCGAATACTATTTACAGGACCTCTTGTTGGATTGCTGACACCACCCTCAGCAGCAGCACCACCAAGACTAGTTCCCGAACATGCCGTACAGTGCTTTTCAGCCTGTTGCTGCGCAATCTCTCCACTGGTGTTCGGCAAGAGAGCAGCTCGCAATCCCATCTCTCTAGTGCTTCCATAACTCATACTCCGCCTATGCAACTGTTTCGCTCTAATCACACCCTGGAGTTGTGAAGTCACTGGTAAAAGAGGTAGTCGCCTGAACTTCTTCGACTTCCTTTTAGCTGCTGCAGATGATGAAATAGGCGCTTCCTGTAGTTGAATCGAACCACTTCTAGACTCGACATCAGAAGAAGAAGAAGAGCTGAAGAGACTATGAGATAACGGAGGAGGTGGTGGGATACGTTGATATGAAGTGGATACATTTGTGGAGGTAAGTGTTGAGGTACTTCCATTGTTAGGACCAACTGCTCGACGATCCCTCGTGGTAGGTACGTCTTCGACTGAAGTAGGAAGATAAGTGTATGCAGTTGTCGAAGCTGTCAGAAGTTGACTGTCACAGGTACCCGGTGGTGGTGGGGACGTATTGATTGAATTACGTTGACCCAACACAGAGAAAATATCTAGGGGGATAACGGAGGAATCTGTAATTAGTTGCATGGAGTAGAGCATTCACCACCCTGTCTTAAATCACCAAAGTGGTCTGCAGCATGACAATGAGAACTTACTAGAATAGTACCGAACGTGTTTATCACTGAAAAGAAGGAAAGCATGAGTTGGATATGGATACGTATAATGAGAGGGTTATTAATGAGTGCTTACTATGACCGATACACCAAGATAATAACGGCAGCGGCCAAGTAGAACATGACGTAGATACCAATAGCTCCATAGATGGGTAGATAATAACGGAAGCCTATCAGGATTTAATACAAAAGGGCAAGATTTAGCCAAATCTAAATTCCCAAAATGCAAACACACCACATTAAAATAACTGATAAGGATAAAAATAAAAATTTAAGCCAACCTGCTAAAGAAGGGGTCACCGTTAAGGTAATATTTTTAATCCTCGGTGTAGTAGCATTACCAGGTTTAATTACTAAAAGTCAAAATTATTAGCTAATAGCAGTTAAAAAGATATATAAAGAAAAAGGAAAAAAACTACTTGTGGCGGGACCACCACAGTCAAAATCTTCGGGCTTTAGAACGAGAACAACCAAGAATTTGGTGATATTATGATCCAATTTCTAAACAAGATCGATTAGTAATATTATACATTTTTTGAAGAAAACTTACATTAACAGTCATTGCACCGAGTGTAGTAACTGTCTGATAAACACCGGAATACTTGACAGTATCGAGAATATCGGCTACAGGACACTAGATCAATAATAACACTAAAATATAATAAATCCTACTCTTGCAGTCTGTACAGAAACAGTCATGCATAGTTTGTCATTTGAATGAACCCGAACGATTACAGAGTCAATGTCATCTGGAAAATTGAAGAGGTAGTATTGTGGTTCCGAGGGAGTGATAGCCAAATCAACTTTTTGGTGTAAACTAGAAGGAAAAGAATATTTGGGAAAAGAAACAGCAACTTACGCCAGCTCAAAATTGTGAAGAATATCTAGGCGAAGATGATAAGAAGGTGCGTGAGATTCATCAGGTGTGGCACTTGAAAGCTCGACAAAAATCTGTTCTGAGTTATTGCCTTTGCTATCCAAAGCAATAAAGGATGGACACAATGTTCGACTAACTGAATCATACATAAACCTGAGAATAAAGAGTAAATTATCAAAAAAATACTTTTCATTTATAATTAGAGGGAGAGGGAAAGACAGCACATTGGCCTGCTGTTTGAAAATGGCAATCAATGGATAAGCTTTACTAACATTAGTAGCGCTTATATCAACTCGTACAGCGACGGACTAATAAAATATAGATTAGAAAGATGAAGCATACGAGAATATTTGGTGCTAGATTGTACGTATAATTTTTAGGATTGTGAAGGGAAACTGTCCCATTATAGTCAACTGAAAAATCAGCGCCATAGACAGAAGTAAAGCATAAGTAAATGTAAAGTAGCACATTAAGACATGGTAAGTGTGGTCGACCCATTGATTACAGCCACTTCCAATTAACCATCCCGCATTATAAGACTATTTACACAATCAAATTGAACTAATGCACGTAATTTGTGCTACTATTTCTAAGTTCAAGTGGGTTTTAAAAATTTAAATCTTTCATTATTTAATAGCTCAAATGTTATCCTTTATAAAGAACTATGTCATCATTAGCATTAGGACATTAAATTATATTGAGCGGAACTTAAAAAGCTACTAGCGGTGCTGATACTACATTTATGATCGCAAAATTGAATCTATTTTAAAAGTTGACCTTAGTATACTTTTCAATTGAATTTGTCCTTTATGCTCTAAATGTAAATACCTAAGTGATTGATTGAGTATAGCCTGATATTAATGTAGTTATGGACAAATTAATTTCATTGTCACGTTTACAGTAGCTGATTTAGATTAAGAATGGAAATAATAACACTTGTACTAAAGTGAATTTTCCAATGTACATCAAATAGTACCTACAACGATTCGTGGAAAATTTTCCGTAAACAAGAATAATCATTATCCTATCAAGATTGATAATAAATGAGAAATCTTTTATTACAGGATTTTAGACGTCATTTAAATTTTGATCGATGAATTGCACTGCGTGTTGCCAATGCCTTTTTCCCTTAACAAAAATGCTAGAGGTGTTAAAATTTAAACTAAACCGTTTGCATTGCTAAGCGAAATTTGTTGTATAGCAATTGCCGTATAGGAGCCAATTAGCATAAATTGTCTAGAGGCAGATGAAATGCATTAAGGTTGTGACAACACTAGAAAAAAGTTCAAAAAACGGATCTTGGAATTCAACAGGAAGAAGAATTATATCCAATAAAAATATATTTATGGAAAAGCAACTTTGTTACATATTTTAATACTAAATGAACAACATATTAATTCCATTTTTTGCCAACTATTGTGAAAATTACTGTGACATTTTTACTTAAGTTCCGTCACTTAAAGCCCCACTTTAGAAGGACCTTAGAAGTTTTATTCTTCGTGTATAAAATTCACAAATCTTAAGGTTTTTTTCACAGCGGCTTGAATTCATAAAATATGTTCAAATTCACATATTTATATGCTTTTTCTTCATTAAAATTTATTTATGAATATGCGTAAATCAGCACCGACTAGATACTTTGTCGTAATTAATTAACTTTCCTCTAACTCTTCAAAGCGTAAATAACTTACAGGTTTTATTTTTCATTCCTATATTCAGCATTTATTTCAAATAGAATCTTCCTTAATCATATTTTGAAATAGACCTCGTCATATGTTTTTAACTAGCAAATATTTGTGACTAACCTTGCGACTATTAAGGAGGGAGAATAAAGGCTATTGGTTGGATAGGCGCCGTTCAGCTTTTTATGGATATAGTCTTTTTTAATAATTAGAGATGTATCAAACACACCTAAAGTTTCCACAACCCCAAAATAACATTGCTGATGAATTGCCAAAGAAGTCTGTCAAAAGCATAGCAGTACGATATCTTAAACCGTCTAATAATTTTTCATAGTTTACGTTAGTTGTGTAGATTGTTAAAAATAATAAAGCATTTCAATTATAGTATCATTTTACTCATGTTGCGTCTATTATTACATTTCATCATCAGTACTCACTTTTCTATCTAATATAATACCTTTTAATTCCTATATAGGTTTTCATATCGCCAAATATACGTAACCAAAATTACCCATGTTCAACACCATCGCCTTCGGAAGAGGTTCAAGAAGATAGCTTTGATGAAATCGAATGCCTTCGAGCGGAGGTAAAAAGGCTTTCTGACATCGTCTCAGAACAATCGAGCCTCATTTCTTATATCCAAAATACTTTCAACCAGGTAAGTAAATAGATTCCGCTTCATATTAAATGTATTTGCGATTTTTACCTTCTTGAAACACTTCTTCTGCAGCAGAAGTCAAAAGAAAATAATTCCTCAGACCACTTGGACTTACTAACTGAATTAAATCAGCATAAGATTTCAATGGCATGCTTGGAAAGAGAAAATCTTTCCCTTATTTCTGCAATGAAACAACTACAGGTAAATTCAACAGATAACCTTATTTAATGTGTTCATCTAACTTCGTCATTATAAAAGCTCAATAGTTATATATATATATATATTATATACACGACAAACCTTCATTTTCTAAGGTTTTAATTTATAATTTCCTATTTGCGCATCAGAATGAAATGGGCTCTCTATCCGCGACAGTAGGACATCAGTGCAATGAGTTAGTTCTTCTTCGAAACGCCATTCAAGGTGTGTATTTTCTATTTGTCTAATTTTACGGAAAATATTTTAAGAAAATCAATTTTAATCCCTTATTCAGTCGCTTTGATTTTATAACTATTCAACCAAAATTTTTTTATTCCGTTTCCACTTCTCTTAAAGTTAATTGATAATGTATCTTTTGCTCTTGAAGGCATTCTTACTCCAAAATCAGGGCCTTAAATTTATGTAGTATTAATTTTGATAGCACTAGAGCAGCAATTATTCCCAATCATTTATTCCTTCATTAAATGGTGGATCCAAAATCCAGTTTTTCGAGCTTAAAACCTATTTCAAAATCATATTTTCGGGTTCTTCTTATGATCACTCCTCTGCCAATAGGATTTCACGCTGGGAGATATTATTAGACATTCATACCTGGATATTTACGTGAGTATTGCTATCACTCTATCGCTGGGACAAGGGTGCGAAAACCCTTGCACATAATTAAACACACGTTTCTACGCTCAGATTATAAAATGCAAATGCTAATTAGGAAGTGACTGTTTACAGCACTTAACCACGTATGTGTACTTCATAGGGGGGTTTAAGTGTCCACCCTCGTACCTGCACTCTTAGATTTCAGTTTTCATTGGAGAAGAATTTTCTAACTTGAACTTTTCTTCTTGAAAAGTTATAATCTTAAAAGTAAAATTTATTGTAGAAATCCATCGACTGCGAAAGCTCTTTGATTAGCTTGGATTTCTGAATGAGTATCTTAACCTTCTCATTTTACCTGTCTACTTGCTAATTGGGAATACTAATTCAACGACAATATAGCCCTAAGTTATTTCTTTCGATGAGAAGGAGGTTTGGGACTTCCTTTTAGTGTGTATGTAACCGTGAAACAATGTATTTCCCCATTCCATTGCTATAATTTCTGTCAAAATGTGCATAAAATAGGTCACTGTGTATTGCTCCTCAACATATTCAAATTTCCATGAGGTGGTTTCTACAGCTAGAATAAACTGGCCATACCAACAACTCTTACTTTAATTTTTGAATACTTTCATGCAATTTCTTATTGGTACTCGCCTAGCTCAAACACCAAATCTTCTATGCGGGAACATAATTTTAGCCTCAAGATTAAACTACTTTATTTTTTTAAAGATAGATTCCATGTTTATTTCCATTGGTTACATAGTCACTTGCCAACAAAGCAGTTATGCTAAATCCAACACTAGTTTAACATGTTCTATTCGTAATTGCAATTAAATGAATATGCGGTATCTACAAATTCAGTATAGATTTGATCGCCACCACGTAGAATGACATGATTTCATCCACAAAATATGAAAGCAAGTAATCAATTAATAAATTTTTATGAGGTGACAAAATGAAATCCCCCCCCCCATTTTGCTACAACTTAAAGTATGGTACTCCGTAAGTAACCATAATGTGAAGATTTCCCATATACATCACTGAAATATGTTGGCGTCGATTCTCTAAATTTATTCGTATGTGCTCATATTTGTATCAAATTTCCACTGATCTACACTCTTGAGTTGCCTTTAAACAACTTGGAACACTTTTATTTCGTCCCTCGTTTTACTCTGGTATTCAAGGAGACTGGCATGTTTTCGTTAGTTTTTGTTGCATTCTTGTGAGACTCCCTCCCGTAGTGCTCTCGTAAATCCCTTCTTCCTTTTTTATCACAATATTGACCAATCGCATTAGATGTAAAAAATTATAGCAAGTAAAGCATGATTTGCTTTGACACGAAATTAGATGCAATGAGAGACAACTAATTAGTTGTTTATGTCTGTTACATATAAAGGGCGAGTAATGCTTAAAATAAAAATAACATCGAAGTAAATGAGTCTCCTTATTAAACCGAAACCTGAAACCATTGATTCAGAGATATTGTACCAAGATCGATCCGTTTCCATCACAATTGTCCCCTTTTATTGAATACCATTATTCTGTTGGTTCAGTCCTGTTGCGATGGGCCCCTATCTTAGCTTTGAGTATCGTTAGTTGTTACCTTTGATGCATTAACTTTTTGGCGCTGCAAACGGGTTAAGGTTAGAGTTCTGTTGTTTAACTAAAAAAGCACCTAGATTTCGCACCTTGTTCGAATACAAAGCGTATTCGCACGGTTTTCAACCTACTGGGGGTGTAGAAAAGGTTAATCACTATCACTAATAATTAACATATCGAGTTATCGTGAGAGCGAAAAAGAATACTGTTTTACCAGGTACATGAATATGAACAGGCCACTTGCCATTCATATATACTTCACTATCTACTGATCAGAAAAGAGATATTGATTAAAATGCCAATAGAAATGAACCATTACACCCTCGATTCAAGAATGCCATTACCTGTTTTATTTTTATTTTGTTCTTTTGCGATATGTTTTATAAGACTCTCGGTAACTTAACAAATATCTGAAGATTCATGTAGGTTATTCAAACAAACTTGAATATCGGCCTAACAATTTTTTTATCTATTGGTAACCATGTTTTGTACTTAAGATACTAACCGATTAGGTTGACTGGTCTTCCTAAAAATGTGGGAAATGCCACTTTATACTCGAGACCTATTACATTTTAAAACTGGATTATGTGTTTGCCAAGGGTGGTTTGAAGCACTTGGCATTTTGATGTTGACAGTGTTGGTTTATATTTGACATCTCGAGATGGGAAGCGAAGACTAAGAAGTTCTTAGTGTTTATCATTTGGTTTATATAATCCTCCCCTCAGGTATCGTGTTGAACTTCATTAAATTCGAAACAGACATATAATTGTAAGCTCTAATAAGACAGTTTAAAATCATTTATAAAATACGTGCGCGTGTGGAAAAGACGTTTGGTTGTTTTATTTATTTATTTGTATTTATTTATATCAAATGGCAGACGTTTTGATGGTTATCATTAGCCCCTTAGCTGACTTCAGGCTTCACAGAGGGGAAGGAACATCAAAGTGAATAACTTCTAGAGAGGGAAGGAAACAGAAGAGTGTTTCAAAGACGAATGTAGAAAAGATAGAAAAAGGTGAGGTGAGTACTGTGGAAGCAGTCGAATATGCATACATTGGGGTGATGGTAGTTTGAAGTCAGAAGTCAACTGCCGGTTAATAGACTTTTTTTGTCGTATGAGTATACCTTGCCCAGGATGCATCACGTGGATGTAAGTCTATCACACACACACACACTCTCTCTGCACAATTATACAATCAAAGTAGACGATAAGGAAGTGATTATTTACTTTAAATCTCTAATAATTTCATTGTCGAGTATTAGATTTTATAAAGCCTTGAAAATCATTGGAGTACGTAATTGAAATTAATATCTAACATAATCATAGGCTAATAGTTTCCTAAACCCCTCAGGACTTTACTTCTAATTTTAAGAGTATACGCATTTTATTGCATGACTGAATCGTTTTGAGTATGTGAAGGTGAAATCTGGTTCACTTTCTTGCCACGCCAAGCCACTGCCTCCACGATTATTCCACAATTATC